ATTTCTTGTATTGGAACAAATTATGTAGGCAAAATGCAATTCATAAAGGCAAAACCATTTGGGCAATATGTATAGATAATAGCCAGGGTCGGGTGTGGCGAAGGGAGAGTGGCAGCCCACTGCTCTCCAAGGGGATGGGTTAAATGCAGAGGTAAATGTCTCCAATGTGAGGTTTAGGAAAGAAAAATAGCACAGTGTGCCTTGGTCAATATAAAACCCCACTTTTTCCCTTGATTTGTCTTTCAACACAGGACATCATCATAGTGCCATTAAGTAACCCATGAATAATTGCATCTGGGGCCTTTTTAGTCAATTCCCCATATTCATGGACACCATTTAAATATTGACTAAATAACTTCTATCGCTGCAGAAAAATGAGAAATAACTTAAAAAAAAATACTGAAAAGGACCAACTACTGAAAAATTACAAATTCTAACACTATGCTGCTCTACCCTGTATGTATATTTTGGTCCTATAGATAAACTCAATACACATACGTGTGCATGATGACTGAGGCTGAAGGGGTTTAAAGTGGCTCTGGGCTCACAATGGGCTTTTTGTATATGACTTGCATAGGTTGGCTAAATACAATCCATAGAGGCAAAACCCAGTGGACATCACCTGTGCGCCTCAGTGGGCTTCAAATGAGCATTATAGATATCAGCTGAAAATGCATAATACATTTTGACAGAATATAGGTTTTGCTTTTCATCAAGACCTATCCTGCAGCAAGTATATAAACGTAACTCTCAGCTATTTTTAAGCCATACTTGATTTGTTTGGGTTTGTATGTTAATGCTGGCTGGGTCATAAATATGGGGACAACAAAATTCAACCTTGTTTTCTATATACGGTATCTAAATCTACATTGGTCATTTAACAGTTAGGCAAAAAAAAGAGGAATATTCTCTCTTTGAGTGCCATTATTTCATATGCTGAATGTAGTGGTGGATGTCAGGTAGGTGGTATGAACTCTACAGCCTCTGAATTTTCTTTTTGCTATGGTAAAAAGAATATTAGTGTCCCAAGATTGGATTCAGGAAAACCCCATCTCCGCCCTGCAACCTCATCACTGGCATCAACCATACAGAAAACACTAAGCACTCTGTGTTGCAGTGCAGCCAAATATAAAACCACTGGCAGGAATGAAGCATATATAATGAGGAACTCCTGCTGCCTTTTTCCACTTGGAATTTGGGATAATTTCCCATGTAAAAATGTCATTAACCACAGTTATTTAAGTGAAAATAGGTAGCACATTGGAAGAAACAGGTTTTCCATGGCTGTAACAGTGCCTCGCCAGGTGGTACCACTTTTTGTTTAGGACAGTAAAGGATTTTATAGCCATCTCTCAGTATTAGAGGTACCACAATAGAACACAAAAGAGCTCTGAAAAATACATTAACCCGACTGTAAAATATGTCATTAGGCTCTTTGTGGTTTTAGAAATATTGACCCTGGCCCCCTTAAGTGTGACTTGCAGGTCCAATCGTGTATTGTATGCTGACAAGATGGGCTTTGTAAAATCTGGCAGTGGGGGGTGCTTAGTCTGAAGAGGAGCGAGGGGCCATCAATTTTCTGGAGATGTCAGTTTGCATGTGACCATGGGACAGTAATGAGACTTCACCCCATGGATATACTTGTGTAGTTCTAGTGCATGAAGACAAAGAGTTAAAACTTATTAAAAGAAATTTTGAGGCACGGATTATCTGGAGAGCAGTTTTAAGTCATCAGATTTTATTTTCTTTTTTCAGGTTTTAATGAATGCTTGCAGTGAAAAAAAACGGCCCCACCTCCAACATAAGTATACCAAACAAAAGCTGTCTGGTAACCTTAGACCTCTAAACTGCTCTGGATTCCTAAACATCAAACTCAATGCTGTATAATGAGTGATTTAAATTCAGAGTGTACTACTGGGTGTGCTACACCCAGGATGTCCCCGTTGAACCCAGGTTAAACAAAAAGAAACGTAAAATGAAACCTACTTATCTCCATTGACGGCTCCCCTAAAAAAGTAACTGTTCCCACATTCAAAAGTGAAGTTCCAACATTGAAATTTACAAATCTGAAAGACATTTATATTTAGTAGAAAAGACATTTTAAAAGCCTATCTTTAAAACCAAGAATCAAGGTAGCAACTAACACTTTTAAAAGCTATTTAACACCTAGCAACATGCCTATACCCACTAATAGCGATAATGAATTAAATGTTGTTGTAGGTATTTGCAATTACATGCATAAAATTTAAATGTAAATAAATAGTTGGTAAAAGATAGTGAACATATTTTATGAAAGAAAAAAATATCTTAAATTGCTGCTTATTTTAGAGACTGCTACACAAAACTGCAAAACCTGGAAGTCATGGCCAGAGGGAACATCTTGTCCCTGGCTCTTTGTTTGATGTCTATGGTGTTTCTCCTTCAGTTGGAAAGCAGCACTTGGCTGGACCTGACAGGGCTGGGATCTATTCTCTCATGATTCTGCTAGTAGGGGCTGAAAGGAAGCAGGTTGCACGAGTCTGACTCTGTGAAAACATGCTAAGATTGGCTGAGGCAGCCCAGCTGAACTCAGATGACCCACATTTTGGACCTACCCAGTAAAACGGGAGGAGAGGGTCATTATTATCAGAATTTATAGGACACTACCCAGTGGTGCAAGCCAGGCACTGGAGCATATCTAAACAGAGAGGCGGGCGAAAGGAAACGCTTATTAGGTATGGAGACTAGGGCAGGGCTAGCACGGAGCCATAAAACTACACTAAACTCACATGGTCTGGACTGATGTGAGGGGGTGGGCTGACTGCTTGAAGTGACTGTGGCTGCAGCTTTTTTCTAGACAAGTTGGCAGAACTGTGATTTTTTTTCTTTCTGGAACTTACCAATTAAACCAACATACACCATCCTTATTAAAAGAAATTAGAGGATGCAAGCCGAGCATCAAGGCAAACAAAAGAAGGGGTTTGAAAGGCAGCAAGAATAACGAGCTGAGTTAAAGCTACACTACAACAAGAGACAAAAGAAACAGTAATTACAATAGAAGCAAGCCTTCTTGTGGTAATTATAAACCACATTTGTCTCCTTCAGCCTGTTCTTAACAAATGGGTGATTTAACAGCCAGCTCTAACTGGAGTTAAAGTTGACTCCAATCAATAGCAAAGACGCTCTACCAGCCACAAAATAAAATATCCTCCAGCTTTTGTTGTCTTCATGTGGTTTGTCCGTTTCACTGAATATACAATCTATATCCAACTGTTATAAATAATAATAAATCAACAAATAAAGTAAAAGAAATCAGACAGGAGAGTTCCTCTGTGTTTAGGGTGAAAAAAAGCTGAAACCCACTATTGAGGAGAATTTTAATAGTGTATTTTTAAGGGATAAGATGTCCAAACTTTTCTTCTTTGTTAGTTATTGCTAATCTGCATATTTTTAGAAAGTTTTCACGCATTTAATAAATAGAGCCCTCCAGAACTATTTAATATATTTAATTTATACCAAACCTTTTTGGAGACTAATGTAATAAAGTAAACTGTTCTGAAACGTCTCTAAACATGATGGTTAGTATATTAGCATGCATCATTGAAAAGCTAATACAGTTTAATCAAAGTCCTTTTGAATTGTTTTTTGTGTCTTCTTGCTTGTCTTGTGGTAGTAGTATTAAAGTTGCTGAGGTACAAGGTTGTCTGACTTTAAACAAATTTGGTTACTCCGCAGCACAAAAAAACACAACTATGGAGTCTGCAGAAGAACCATTAGGATGGCCAATATAGCAGGATTGTAAAAAAAATTTGATTTTTTTTTTCGTTTTATCGTTTATATTGAGATGTCTATGTTGCACTCAAAATATACTGTAAGGAATGCCTGTACCCTAAAACAATAGACTTTTATGTCTTTAAATATTACCTTTTTTATGTCATATTTACTGCAAATTTTCCATTTACATGTTTCCATTAACTTTTATTTAATGTGTTACGTAGAATTAATTTGTAAATCAAGCAATCAAAAGACAAGTATGGTACATTTAATTAATCTTACCAAATAGCATTAACAAAACTATTTAGATAAGTTAACAACTTAACAGGTGCAAGTAGTATGAGCTTGCATATTAGGAGGAAACCTGCTGCTTTTTTTTCCCTTCCCTCATTAGGTCAGAAATAAAAAAATACTATCATGTGTCTGCTGCTTGCAGGAAGAAGGTTCTGGGTCGTTGCAGGGACTTTCTACATGGAGTTTGCATGTTCTCTCCAGGTACTCCGGCTTCCTCCCAAAACATGACTTTTAGGATAATTTAGCTTCTCTAGATTCTCCTTCTGTGCCTCTCTGTGTAAAATTAACTAGCAAAACAAAAGTACATCTTTTGTTGATAAGAGAAACAAAATAGTTTGTTTGTTAAATCAACTCTTCTTAGTAAGTAAAACAAATTTAGAGTTAATTGAGTAAAATGTGGAAAGAATGTCTATGCGGAAAAAGTTACCTAGTAAATGGTACTCCAAATCTTTTTCATTGTATATTGCCATACAGTTAATCGCCATACTCCAAATTGTCTACATCAAAATAAACACATGCAAAATGTTAATCTCTTTATGACTTTTAATTTCCATCATTTGTTAATTAACATTATAACTACAACATAATGAGTATTAAACAATCCGTTTTGAGAAAAGGATTATTAAAATATGCCTGTTGACTGTCATGTTTTTAGCATAAATCAGTATAAAGAACTGATGTGGGGTCAGGTTTAAATGTGTGACAGAACAGTGTAGGCTTGAAGATGAAGGTGTCCTATGCTGGATCTCGTGGAGCTGCTTTTTCATGCCTGCACGTTTCTGCAGCAAATGACTCAAATGTGGGTCACGCTCACGCAAGATGTTTGATCCTGTGATCCACGGAGCTCTGTTTTCTTCTCAGCCCTGCCAAGATGATGTATGCGCGCATATGTGCAGAAAAGGAGAGAAAAGGATGAGGTGTGAGCTTGCTACGCTCACATCACGAGGAAACGGCAGCGAGGCTGGAGTCGAGGCTCAGCTAGCTGAGTCTGTTGCTGGCCAGATCAGCTGGCAAGTCTGTCTAGCGGGGGTGTGGCACATCATAACAAAGGGCTGTGGGCAGACAGGCGACTGACTGCACAGCTCTTATCAACCCCCTCAATTTTAGCCGATCTATATCTCCCCTCCCTTCTTCAGTAGCCTATCCTGCGGAATGCAAAGCGCTAAAAAAGAAAAACAAAACAACAAAAACAAACAGTGGTGATGTTTTGGGCGGAAGGTCACACGCATCCAGTGGACTTTTTGAACTGATTCTGCAAACTTCCTGCATGTCCACGCGCACTTGCTTGAATCTGCGCACCTTATAGGTCAGGTTTTATCTTCTTTATTGTTTATTTTATGCTGATTTGAAGCAAATAAACCAGTTTTTAAATTATTTATTTGTTTGCAGCAATCTGCTTCAGGAAACGGAGATTAATACATCATCTAGTTCTACATGTTGGCTGCACCGCAGTTTCAGTTTGAACATACTGTCCAATGCGGTGGTGGATGTGCGTGTGTTCAGTGGGGAGGAGGAGGAGGAGTGGGGACAAAGCTCAAAGACTTGAGTGGGAGTGGCACTGTTTTCTAGCCTTTCTTACCAGAAATTAAAAGGACATTATAAAGTTTACATAACTCAACAAAATGCTTTTATAATTATGAAGCAAGGTGCAATTAAGATGCGATCATCTTATTTATTTAAGGTGGACTGTTGAAATTGGCCAATTATACAGCAATTATAATTAATACCCTATATCTGACAGTATTCTGAGCTTTATGTGAGATAGGGACACAATAGGCACCATGAAACACTTGCATCCGATCAAACTGACCTGTGTGTGTCCTTAGGTGGGCTTTGAGGTGGGAGGATTTGCCATAAACTTTTTCACAGCCAGAATAGTTGCATTTGTGCTTTTTCTGAGGTGGCTCCTGCTCAGTCCGACCTCTCGATCTCTTGCCTCTTTGTCTGAGCGCAGGATCGGAGGTGGCGGTAGGTGTGGCAGGGTTTCCATCCTCTCTCAGGTTCGGCGTGATCTCCTCCTTTATCTTTGCCTGCTCGGCCACCCCGTTGGGTGTCTGCTGATTAAAATCCGCCAGGATCCTCGCCACCACGAAAAGCGAGGAGTTCTCCTTCACCAGGGGCTCCTTTATTTCCTCCCCAGTCCTGGAGGAGGTCGGGATCTCCGGTTTAATCTCCCTGTTGCCCTTAGGGGGGTGAACAACTGCACGACTGGACATTGAAACAAGGCACTCTGCAGCAAAGTGATCCATTCTGTCTTTGAGAAAAGCCCCTCTGCTTCTTAATGACATTCAGAAAAATAACTATGAAATAAATCCTTGTGTTGGACGTAATGAAAAAGTACTTCCACCGTGCTTCCTTTTTTTGTGTGTGTTTATGTAGCGGTGAGGTGGAGGTGTCTCTCATCAGAGAGAACTGACTTTATGATCTTACCCGGGTTTCCAAAATCATCAACATCCTGTGCTAGAAACGCCTCATACCAAAAAAAAAAAGGCGCATAGAAGACCTCTCTCTCTCTCTCTCATAAACGAAAGGAGAGGGAGGAAGAGAGAGAAATAGAGAGAGAGAGGGAGGGAGAAAACAGAAACCGGAGTCTTTGTTTAGTGCAGCGACGCCGGTAGCAGGAACTCTTGAAACTTGGATGCGTAAACTCCCATTGCGGCTTCAGACCGTCTCCAAGCGCGTCTCCTGCGCGCCTGCTGCTGCGCGCTGTATCCATGCTGGGGGCGTGTCCAGCCGGGCAGCATCGTCAGAGGAGCGGCTCATTCATTGGGTACAACATGTCCCCAAGTGCTCCGAGCTCCACGAGTTACTAGAAAGTTTCTTCTTGCTGTTCAGAGGATGCAGCTCTCTCTCTCTACCTGCAGCGGGGAGCGGAGAAGACATCCACACCGTCACCAGACATCTGTTTTTTAGGGTTAGGTTAGGGTTAGGACATCATGGAGATTTTCTAGATTATTCTGCTGCAACACGAGCTTCAAATGGTTCAGACTTCCTAATATGCCATTAATAATACCTTTACTTTCCAACTTTTCCCTTCAGTTTAAATTTTTTAATGCACTTATTTTCATTAATCTAATTTATATTTATTACTTTGTTGCCACTTATGTGTTAAATGCAATTACTAAACAGCCAACTTGCACCACTGCAGACTGCACATGGAGCAACACTGCACCTTTGCAGCAAGTACTGAGAACTTTCTGCATCAACTTGTAATGCTCTATGTGTGCATGTATTCCACCACAGGTGAAAAAAATAGCCATTTATTTAACTGGTATCTTTTAGTCAGTTATATGACTTTTTGATGATACTGCACCACAAAGCCATATTAGAATGTAATTAGAGGTCAAATTCTCCATTAAATGCAATAATCATAATAATCATCTGTTTTTTGTTTTGTTTTTGTTTTTTTACCAGAGGTGTCAAGTAACAAAATACAAATACTTTGTTACTGTACTTAAGTACACTTTTTAGGTATCTATTCTTTACTCCATTACTTATTTTCTTCCTACTTCTGACTTCTACTCATTACATTTTTACACAACTATCTGTACTTTCTATTCCTTACATTTTTAAAACGATTTAATGTTTATAAATATTTTATTTTGCGTCATGTGCACCATCCAATGCAGATCATTGGCTTCTTCCACATCTAGTGAAAACTAGTGTAATTGGATGAGTCATATAACGCAAACACTCATTGGTTAGCTAAAAGGAATCATCAGAAGCAACCAGGATTTCTTCAAACTGCAAACCTGAATTGTTTACGCCATGCTTCAATGGCGGATTCAGAAAAAGAAGTTGAAATGTCTAAAAGGTCAGACACAGACGAGAGCGTGTCGGGAGATGGAGACTGAGACCAACAAGACCTCCCTCATCGTTGGCTCAAAGAATTTTTCCAAGTAGTCAAAAATGTTGCTTTCAATTCATATAGTGGCATCTGGCTGTTTTTAAAATGTTACTTTATACCTACAGGTGCTGGTCATAAAATTAGAATATCATGAAAAAGTAGATTGATTTCAGTAATTCCATTTAAAAAGTGAAACTTGTATATTATATTCATACATTACATACAAACTCATATATTTCAGATGTTTATTTTGTTTAATTTTGATGATTACAAATGACAACAAATGAAAATCTCAAATTCATCATATCAGAAAATTAGAATATTGTGAAAAGGTTCAAAATTGATGGCCCCTGGTGCCACACTCTAATCAGCTAATTAACTCAAACCACCTGCAAAAGCCTTTAAATGGTCTTTCAGTCTAGTTCTATAGGCTACACAATCATGGGGAAGACTGCTGACTTGACAGTTGTCCAAAAGACGACCATCGACACCTTGCACAAGGAGGGCAAGACACAAAAGGTCATCGCTAAAGAGGCTGGCTGTTCACAGAGCTCAGTGTCCAAGCACATTAATAGAGAGGCGAAGGGAAGGAAAAGATGTGGTCGAAAAAAGTGTACAAGCAAGAGAGATAACCGCACCCTGGAGAGGATTGTGAAACAAAACCCATTAAAAAATGTGGGGGAGACTCACAAAGAGTGGACTGCAGCTGGAGTGAGTGCTTCATGAACCACCACACACAGACGTATGAAAGACATGGGTTTCTGCTGTCGCATTCCTTGTGTCAAGCCACTCTTGAACCACAGACAGCGTCAGAAGCGTCTTGCCTGGGCTAAAGAGAAACAGGACTGGACTGCTGGTGAGTGGTCCAAAGTCATGTTCTCTGATGAAAGTAAATTTTGCATTTCCTTTGGAAATCAAGGTCCCAGAGTCTGGAGGAAAAGAAGAGAGGCACTTCATCCACGTTGCTTGAAGTCCAGTGTAAAGTTTCCACAGTCAGTGATGGTTTGGGGTGCCATGTCATCTGCTGGTGTTGGTCCATTGTGTTTTCTGAGGTCCAGGGTCAACGCAGCCACATACCAGGAAGTTTTAGAGCACTTCATGCTTCCTGCAGCTGACCAACTTTTTGGAGATGCAGATTTCATTTTCCAACAGGACTTGGCACCTGCACACAGTGCCAAAGCTACCAGTACCTGGTTGAAGGACCATGGTATCCCTGTTCTTAATTGGCCAGCAAACTCTCCTGACCTTAACCCCATAGAAAATCTATGGGGTATTGTGAAGAAGAAGATGCAATACACCAGACCCAACAATTCAGAAGAGCTAAAAGCCACTATTAGAGCAACCTGGGCTATCATAACACCTGAGCAGTGCCACAGACTGATCGACTCCATGCCACGCCACATTGCTGCAGTAATACAGGCCAAAGGAGGCCCAACTAAATACTGAGTGCTGTACATGCTCATACTTTTCATGTTCATACTTTTCAGTTGGCCAACATTTCTATAAATCCTTTGTTTTTATTGGTCTTCAGTAATATTCTAATTTTCTGATATGATGAATTTGAGATTTTCATTTGTTGTCATTTGTAATCATCAAAATTAAACAAAATAAACATCTGAAATACATGAGTTTGTATGTAATGTATGAATATAATATACAAGTTTCACTTTTTAAATGGAATTACTGAAATCAATCTATTTTTTCATGATATTCTAATTTTATGACCAGCACCTGTATATACTTTAAGTAGTTTTTGGAGCACATACTTTTTCACTTTTATTTGAGTAAAGAGGTCAAACTGATACTTTAACTTTTACCAGAGTGTTTTTAAACTACAATATCTATACTTCTACTTAAGTAACAAATGTGTGTACTTTTGACACCACTGGTTATACATGCTTGTCTGAGTGAGCTTGGTGATATCTTCAGGTGTCTAAAAGACAACAGAGAAACACACAAGAAAGACAACCACACACCTCAGACTAAACGAGGTCAGTTAAATAAATAGATTTTTTTTTACCTCTGGTGGAATACATGCACACATAAAGCATTACAAGTCTATGCAGAAAGATCTCAGTACTTGCAGCAAAGGTGCAGCGTTGCTCCATGTGCAGTATGCAGTGGTGCAAGTTGGCTGTTTAGTAATAGTATTTAACACCTAAGTCCCCACTACAAACAAAGTAATACATATAAATTGCATAAATGAATATGAATACATTTATAAATTGAAACTGAAGGGAAAAGTTGTAAAATAAAGGTATTATTGATGGCATATCAGGAAATCTGGACCATTTGAAGCTTATAGTCGGGTCAAGGAAACCAAAAGAAGATAATTAAAGAAGTCAGAAGGGCAAGTAAAAAAAAAAAATTACAATTAAAAATCTGAAAGATTTGGATTTTATCTATATTAAAGGTGTTCTGTTCTCAGGTCGATATTCTTTTTATCTCTTCATCATCACACCCAGGACACACTAGAAGGTAATGGTAAGTCTGTGGTTGATTTATTCAGTCATTTGATTTAAGACTTAAGTGGCATCCAAAAGTTACAGGACATCAACTCTCCAGAATTGGCATTTTACATTTTAATTAAATGATTTATGATTTAAATTTAAACCCACCAGATAAAAAGAAAGAAAAGCTAAGTGCAGAATGATACTGCCACCAACATGTATTATCATTGCGATTATGCGTTCAGACCTTATGTTATGGTCCTAAGATATTCTGAAAGAACAGAGACTTGTTTGCCCAACTAACGCTGCTAGAACAAAACAAATCTGTTTTTAGGCTGGTCTTTATTAAATATCCTGCTCTGATAGAACTTCCACATGTTTTTCATGTTCTCATTATATCTTATGGAGACCGCTAAAAGGAGATTTTAAAGCTCACTGTTTAAAGTTCCTCTTGTTAAGTAGGATCTTGCTCAGTTAAGGTGGGTGAAGATGTTTTGATAGGAATGCAGCTCCTTTCATATTCAGAGTATATTCTTTTCTGACAACACTTATGTCATTCTTTCTGTGCACCCACAAACTGTTTTAATTTATTTTGAACCCAGAATTTGAAATGTCGGTTTTTTAGTTAACCCATTTTGATATCACAAACTAATCAAGGATATTCCAAATAAAAAGATGTTGCTGCAACATATCATAGGTTTATTCAATCTAGGAAAGATTGGGAGACATGTTTTTTTGGTTCATGTAAATGATTATGAATAGAAGAATAGAAGCGATTTGAAAAGTCTATTATAATTTTCACTTTGGGATGAAGAAAGTACTTTTTGTAATTTAGTTTCTAATAGATAAATATCTTATAGTAGTAAATTGTTCAAGGAACTTGAATACTTATAAGATTTAAAAGGTTTAAATGTACTTGCCGAAAGTTTATTGTGTTGGATATTAAAACGTTATTTTTGAGAGATTGATAAATATAAATTAAAAAATTTGGCAAAAATGGCGGACAGACAGACAGATATTTGCTGCTTCTAACACTTATGCCACTTATGCCTAGCCTACTACACTAGCCCCACCCGCCAGCGGCCAAAATCATTTTTGCCTGCAAGTTTTGTCTAGCCTCGATCAATGCCCCAGGCCCTTGAACTGGCGGGCCAATCACAACGCAGAGATGTGTTTTGAATTTCTGGATGCAAAGCATTTGGGGTTTTGAGGGCGTGCCGACAAAGCTGTGCAACACTGGAGAAAGCACACAAAGGAGGATGGCAATAACTATTGAACAGTAGCATGCACTGCAGCAGAAGCAGCTTTCAATGGAGCGCTCCATTGAAAGTTAAAAGTTCTCTTTTCTGTTGCTATTGTTCAATAAATGTAAATTTTAAGATAATTTGAGGCGAGAATATTATAC